ACCTATGACAACCAGCTGACTCTCTAAGTGCCATCCTCAACTGTCACAAAATATCTGTAAGAAAACGGTTTCCCCCCAAAATGTGTACCGCCCAGGGCATGTACCTCCAAAGTCTGCTTTTTTCTGAACTCTGCCTCTCAAAAGGTACATGTGTACCAAGTTTCAGATTTCTAGCTTCTCTAGAACATGGTTAGAATTAGCGTCAGTTAGTCAGTAAGTCAGTCAGTCAGTAACGATCGTTTATACAAGGGTATATATTAGATACTGTCCCATCAACGTGAGTGAGCTTGGACATTTTCGCTCAGTTTCAGACCTAGCACCCCTGAATTCTTTTATTTGTCCAATGATGCTTCTTAACAGGAAATCATTGAAGATATTAATAACTATATAATTGCTGTACAAGTTTCACGTCCATATTTTTCTATTCGGACTACGCACGTTCATAATTGTTGCCAAAAACTGATGTCCACAAACTGATACCAGGCAGTTCAAAAATAGGCACCAAGTGAAAATCAGCACATATTCAATTAAACAGCGATTGTTGGAAAAGTATATTTTAAATATTTTATTTTAGGGTATGGCATGAAACTATGATAAGTGACCTCCCATTAAAACTAATCAAGCGGTTTCTCGGTTTCCCCAACGACCGTAGCGCAATTTTCAAGAGGAAAATGTCCTTAACCAGTTCACAAACTGGTGGCTTTACCGTATTTCAAAAGTAGGAACATGTGTATACTTATTAATCCATTATGAACTTCTGCGCCAAGTTTCAACTTTATCTTGCTTCTTTCGTTGGATCAAAAAGTGTCTGGAAAATGCGGCTCTTGCAAAAATATGAGCCTTGAGAAGTTTTATGCAAAAAAAATTTTTTTTAAAATCCATCTATTACTTTAATTGAGAGAGGCTGAAAGTTGTGGTAACTGTCACCCGCAACGCGCGAGGCCTACGATGCTCTGCCATTCTGGGCCATAGGCTACGCCATGAAAATTGAAAGAGGCCGGTAGCGGTGGTGAATGGCTGTCACTCATCCGCGGCCTAATATGTAAAGCCAATGAGGCTATACCTTTCTAGACCATACGCTAGGTATTGAAAATGTTGGTATACTTCCAATCTACTTTGAGAAGACTTACTCAGTAGACAGGAATTACTACATGGTGTATCACAAGTCCTGCCTACCTTTTGAAAACTCATTACTTTGTAATGCTACATTTGATTGATACGTGGTTTTCACCATTCAGAGGAGATAATTATCTTTGAAATGAAAAGTGTCCGCATTTTTTGTCGATGGTGCCTTTTTTCCTGAAACGTAATTGAAATTCCATTTTTAGGGGTCATTTGGAGGCGTTCACATTTGAATACACGCCTGTGGCACTGAGTCACGTTGTTTGTTATGGGTCAGTTGGATTGTGTCTCCAATGTGATCGATTCTAATTGAAAAGAGTTAAAGGAAAACGACTGAGGAACGTTTAACAATCGATAACCGTGAAACAATTATTCGGCTTTTCTCCAAATTCGGCCAGAGCGTAGCAAAAACCAATTGACAATTGAAGAAGAGATTCAACCGAGAAACCGTCAGCCATAAGTGGATCGACTGCTTCAACTGGAATTGCCACAAATAAAAGGGTAAATAGCAGACTTTCTCTAATTTAAACACCCACTATAGCCGATGCCATTCTAGGCCCTAGGCTATGGGGTCTTACCTGCATAGGTTTCATGCTTAGTACTGCCCGATTATTCATTGATGCAGCTCACTGTGAATGCGTATCACGCTTTCACCAACCGACTGCCGGTTCTCCATATGAATACCTTTTATGTTGATGCATTATTTCGCGATGATGTTCATCTTCTTTTAGGTCAGGAGTGTAGGTTGGCACCTTCCTTTATATGCAATGCTTTTCTGATTCGCGTTATATATCATGGCTATTTTTTAAAAATAGTTTTTATGATGGATGAAGTCAAATAGAATAACGTCACCTTCCAAAAAATATGCCCACAGGGGATGCATCTGAAACCTGACATTTTTTCTGAGCTGAGTTTCGCATTGGGGACTTACATGCCAACTGTTTGTGTTCCATGTCTCTCCAAATGACCAAAGAAAAAAAAATGTCTGAAAACATCTCCCCCAAAAAATGTATGCCCGCAGGGCATTTAACCCTTCAGCTTGAATTTACCTGGACTCAAGATCCTAATAGGGTCTAAAGTAGAAAGTTTCAAGTTCTAACCTTGTATAGAACATGATTAAAATTAGCATCTGTCAGTCAGGCATGATCATCTATATACCCATATAGGTGCAAGGGAGTTTGTTTCCCTGAAGGGCAAACAAACTCTGCTTTGAACGCGCCTTCGGCTTTCTGTCCTCCAAAAAATGTAAAATACCAGTACGTTTTAAACGTCTCTTTTCGATTTTCATACCTACAAAAGGGGCTAAACTCCTTCGGTCATAAGGATTTTTTGTGGGTATAAGCTTCTTCTGATTGTGTGAAGTCATTTTCGGCCTGATGTTAGCAGTATGAGTCAAACAGGGATTCTTCATTTGCCTCGAAATATCGTCTTAAAGTTTATCCTTCATACATTGCCTACGACAACGTGATAGTAAGAATTAGCTTTCCTTAAGCGAAAATTGCAAGGTTACCCATCCTCCCGCTCAAAAAGGGTCCTTCAGGATGACAGGATCCCAATGTAATGATTGTCACTGAATTGGAAACATTACGAAATTAGAAATGCATTTATTTACTGCAGCGAAAAAACTCCTGGAAAATCTACTTGAAATAAATATCCCCGGCTTATGTTTTCTCCTGTTGCCCGATTTGCAGCAGTGAGAATATTCGCAGATACGTCCTCACAAGTCAGTATTTCCTTGAAAGCGCATTTCCTAGAACAGCGTGTTTCAGGAACTTCAGGTTCCTTCACGTTCCCGTTTCAATGGGACAAGAGAGTGTAATAGGGAACGTCTAATTTTAAAAAAATATTTGACAGCGGGATGTACCGGAAAATTATGACTTTCTTTCATATCTACGGCATAAATAACGAATAAATAACGAAAGTGAAAATTTCCTTGAAATTAACCTATCAGTAAGCACGTTCATACTCATTTTCCGCATTTTTTTTCCCTCCCTTTGAAGGGAAAAATGAATCTGAAGAGTACCCCCTATGACATACATATGAAATTTAGAACTTTTTTGGAAATCAGCTCATCAACAGGCGTTTCCAGGTCCATTTTTAGCTTTCCACGTCCTTCCATTTGGCTGAAGAAAAAGAGGTACTTTTAAAATGTCTTCCTGAATAGAAACGCCCCAAGGGCAAGATCATCCAAAGTCAGATTTTTTCTGAACTCTGCATCTCAATAGTTACTTCTGTACTAAGGTTCAGATGTTTTATCTATACTTCTCTAGATTCTAGAGAAGTTCTCAAGCAAATTAAAACCAATCTGGCTTCGTCGTATGGTAGATTTACGTTTTTGATATGATTTTCTTAAACTTTTTGTCAATTCAGGTTCCAGGCTCATCCATATTTTTTACATTTCTTTTGTGTTGAGGTATGTACGAATGTTGACAGGCGCACTGAGCTCTCCTGCATCCATGCAGCAAGGGATAGCTGAAAATGCTGTTATTAGCAAATGAGCAATAACATTTTTGGGCTTACTGCTTACTAAGTTGATGTAAAAAATTGTGTCCCACTTGATCATTATTGTAGGACGTAAGTGAAACTCACTAGATTTTTTCTCCAAAAAATTAAAAATCACGCATTAAAGGGTTAATTAAAACTCACTTTTTTTCTGGCTCTGCTCGAAGTACGGACCTATATTTTTGGTATGCGGGGCTATTATGAAAATAATCGTTCGTTTGTCAAACTTCATTGAATTATGAGACTTTCGAGCAAAGGTCACTACGTCACTTCAAGTGGAATGATTCACCTCTAAGCACTCAATCCACCTCCAAACGGGCACTCCACAACTTAGCGAGGGGTGCTGAAAAAATCTGACATACCTTTCAACACCTTGTAACCGTCCAATGTTGCATTGGCAGCATAATATTTTTTATTTATGAAACTGTTTCTCTCATAGTATACAGTGGAGCTTTTTTTTTAAATCACCCTATATACTAGATTCACATATGAGACATTAGAATATACTAAACACAGTGTGATGACATCCCCTATTTGATTTTGGACCGGAATGATACTCGAGTGAGTTCTTGGAGTTTGTCTGAGGAACGTTTTGAGGGTTAAGGAATATTACTTATTTCCTCTTTACTTTCGAATCGGAGATTTCACAGTGTCACCGACATGTTTTTAGAATCAGCAACAGGAAAGGAAACTGGCACCTTCTTTGGGATTGCTCTCTTCTTCCTCCGTCGGTCATTTGGAAAGCCTTCTTTTCATGGCCTTATCTCACAGCCTGGTAGCTTTGCTCGGTTTTTTTAATTTTAAAGAATTTTCCTACAACGACTAATTAATATAAACCAATTTGGGAAATGTGTTGGGAGATTTGCACTACTCAATCGCCACCACTGGAATCAAATTGTCTGGCAACTTTTCACTGCAAATTTTCATGCCATACCATTCATGCAATTTTATGGTATGCTGGTAAAAGCTTGTGTACCACTTATGAAGATCGCCCAACAACTACTTGGATTTTTTGCCAATAATACTTATTGCATTCCCATACAATTGAAAGTAACCTGCAATATAGCAGAATATAGCGTATTAACGTAGATATGAATCGTTACTCTATTTCGGATAAAATACACTTATCGTGCAAATTTACATTTTTTCAATTATAAATTAATTTGTAACTTTATTAATTACCATGTAAAATGCTATTCAGTTTTCATCAATCGCAAGGAAAGTCCAACACTTATAATAAATTACATTTGCTAAGCTCGTTTTACCAGCCGCAGTAGCACCTCTCGCAAACTTTGCATTCCAACAACCTCAATCCTGAAATATTTAAAATTCTGAAACAGGTCGCAGTACAGCTAAAAATGATGACTTACTCATACGCGGGACAATAGGCAAGATCTTCATGGGCTGAGAGTCGTCTTGAACGAAGAGCAGAACACCATGCATCTCCTTATCCTCAACTCTCGCAGGAAGGAAGGTCCCTGAAAAATATTAATTGCATACTGTGATAAGAATCAAGCTAGGAAGCAAAAACACCTCTGGGTGGATGAAATAAGCACGACCACTAACCCCCACCCTGTATTTGAACGCCGTTTCAAACAATTGAAGATCGTTTATATGCGACTTCTACCTATGCAAGATGGATACTGTATGTCCGTATTGCCTGTCCTTCAATTATCACAAAGAGACCGAGAGTGAACACTTTCTACGCTTACTCTATGGGAAACCCATATGAGTAGTATGATAGAAGACTTAGCTAAAACAAAAAAGTCCTAATTCCAATGACTCTCCTCGAAGTCCGCGACTCCTTGCGAACTCATGGCCCCCATTTAAGTATATAGTGTGGGATAACAGGAGACAAAAACACGTTCTTCACGAAGCAACGTCTTTCCTCAATAGATTCCGTTGAATTTCATAAGTTTCATAACATTATTTTGCATCCCTATAAAAGTTTTTTTTTTTACCCCAATCAATATTTGGACGGTAAAACAAAGGTATAAAAAGGGGAATTTTCCGATTTAAAAAATATGTATCACTATCTGGATTCCACCGCTACCGAATTTCACTGCGATATTTTACCGCCTTCTTACCTATAATTTACCTTTGTTTCATGGTTCCCTTCGTTTTCATCCGAGTTTTCAGATTTTCTTTTGATTGTGACTAACCTGCATTTCCATTTACTTTCCACCTCCAATTCACAATTTGTTACCTTCGGGGTACCTTTTATACCCGATTTTTCTCCTTTTATCAGATACAAATGATTTAATTTTCAATTCATATGATTGGAGCTACATTAAGCCTGATGCTATGAATAACGTAGGTCGATATAGTCCGAGATCAAGAATAAAAGCTTGACTTAGAAGAAAGTCACATCATATGATTTTGTCGCAAAAATTTATTTATGATGTACAGTATATGTGCCTACGACTTGTAGGTATAATCATTAATCTCAGAATTCTGAAAAGCACTTTTGCCTTTGCCTATTTATAGTTTCATAATCAAATCATAGTCCAAGAGATAAGTTTACCCTAAAGTGAAAAAATACAATTTACAACACAACATGATGAATATTTTTTAGATTGAACCGAACTAGTAACACAGGGCTAGTCCGACTTGACGTCATGCCTATGCTGTACCAATCATATGGGGAATAACGTAATTCCAACACATCTCACAATGATAAAAAAAAGCCAAGCGCGAATACGCCGGGGGCAAAATTATCCTGGGATTATCCGAATTTCACCTTTGCCACTCTTCTCTACTCAAAATCCTGCTTGCGGAGGAGTCCTCTCCCATGAGTCTAAGATAAAATCGGAGATTCCCCTTTTTTCTCCATTTTTCTCTTCTACGCTAGTCGCCAGGAGCAAGGTGAGACGAGAAATTGTTCGCATTTCACATTGAATTTTGTCTGCAAGGATGTTTTGTCGTTTCAATTCTTCAGTTATTTCATTCGATAAAATGAGAAATTCTACTAGCAAGGTAACCAAATGAGTTGCTTTGAACGTGATAACAAAATCCAACTCGAAAACATGGAAATCGCATGCATCGTCAATTTCTTCATGTCACGTCATTTGACGGGGTACTAGCTTGTGGATAATATGTCTGCAGTACAGGTCTCATTGACCTCGGAATATACTTGGCATCCGATCATGCGAATGGAGCACGGTGTCAACAAAGGCAAAGGAAAAGAATATATAATGTCCAAAAACCAAAACTGCAATGCCGCACAGAGCGCACCGATATTGTTTCTCAAAGCTTATTTCACCTGTCATTTCACGCACGTCAAAGAAACATAATCAACCGTGTTGACTCTAACATCAAAGTCAAAGCAACAGAATAAACCACATCAGGTTCAACTAACGCACATTTCAGGTCGAATGCAATAGTGGATTGGTGGACCGCATAAACAACCACACTGAAAACGAAGGCATGAGTAAGCGAGTTAAGCGAGTATTTCCCCATCATCTTTCCTAAGTAGTTCCCATAAAATGCAACAACATTGCTGGGATGCAATGGTCATTTTTCGCAAATGTGAAAAAAATCGGATCTGTTCATAACTAAGACGTGCAAATCCTAAGTGGAATGAGACCGGAGAAAATCTGAGAATATGACAAAAGCGTGAACATGGGCCTCATCTGATAGTTCGAGTTTTCAAATTGAAATTGATAGTGCTCATGAAAGATGGTGAGAGGCACATTTCAGGTTTTCCCATAGCGAAAATGCATGCGATTAAGTTCCAAAAGCTCGCATTCTGATTATCCTTAAGGAACGAGATAAATCACGGACTAAAAAACAATTGACAGTTTGGTTAGTAGAGATACCGAATTTTGTCAAGAAACTCACAACTCGTGAGCCATATATGGGAAATGGCACATTTCGAGGGGGACTGCTTTCGCCTTTCACTTTCAATCCTTTGAATGCGCTCACAAACGACACATGGAAGCCAACTATCACGAGAGTTCTTCAAAAGGTTGCATAGCTTTAACATATAGCAGTCGCGTAGGTAGATGACAAACCCTTAAAAGTATAATAAAGCTATAATCTATGAGCGACGATACCTTGCTGTAAAATATTGATTTGCAAATCTTGACTGTGCTGTTTGCTGCATGTACTCTGTCTTTCTGCATTCCTATGAGCTGATGCACGTGTTAGCCTTTCATGTTTCTGAGACTGGGTCTCCCCCACATTTGGGTGGTTCTTTCCCGTGTTTGCGGTCTCACGTCTGTGCGCCGACACTGAGAAGATGTGTTGCATATTGAAGGGGGAAAGACTCGCTAGGGCTGGAAGGGGTGCTCAACGCTGTATGCTGCTTTCAAACAACAACTCTATGTAGAGTATGTTTTTTTTTTGCTTCATGGGCACCACGCTCCATTGACGTGCTGAGATGGCGCATGAAATAATAGGTGAAATGAACTTTGACAACAGACATCGACGCGCTCAGTTGGTTTCCGTTTCGGTTCTGGGAATTGATTAAATTCTTTATTCGCCTTTGCTGGCATAATGCTTCATTCACATGGTCAGGTGCTGATGATAATCACGGGTCGAATGAGACCTGCAGGCTTTATGCATGTGCCAGTTCCCAAGTAGCATATGAACGCTAACGAGGACGTTCAAGGTGTGTTCAAATGGCTTTTGGACGATCAATGTACACGAATGAACAAATTTTGGGCAGTCAGTGAATGTATCTTTTTTTTTAACAAAACGTGCCTCATTTGAAGGACATTTGTTGGATGTTAAGGATTTTTTTCCACAAAACATATCTATGGGATCCATCTGTCAATGGCTTTAACCAAAGGTTCGCACAACTGACGCCAGAGGAAGCCAAAATAGTCGTTATCGCGGGTCAACCCCTGATGCAGCTGAAATTAGCCCCTTACACCCTCCATCCGGTAGCTGATCATTTCCTACATTAACCAGAGGGGCAGATCTTTGAATTCATCAATGAATTGGCCTTTAGTAACTCCGTCCAAGGAGTCTCCAGGAAACTCTGGTTCGGAACATGGTTGGATATCCAAGGTGACTTCATGGGAAAGAGAATGAAAATGAAGGTAATGAAAATGCATATCGTCGCCCTCATAAAAAATGAATTCAATGCACGGCCTATCTGACCAAATATCTCAATATGAGATATTGGGTCGATTGGAAAGTTCTGGCCGTTTCGAGAACATTCCATACAACCGAGTTCTTTTAAAAAAGCAAAAAAGTTCATGCAACGAAGTAATCGCTATCGCAATTAATCACCTTCTGCCAACGATCAGGCAGACTCCTGTTTCCATCCCCGTAGAACTGAGCTGGCTGTGAGTCGAAAAAATCAGTCAACCAGTTTTCGACTTCGGCGTCATCGTTGAACCTTTTCTGGCGAAGATGGTTGTTCAGAGCGCGGAAGAAATGGTAGTGGGTTTGCGCCAGATCTGGGCTATACAGAAGGTGAGGCAGAACCTCCCAGCCCAGATCCAGCAGTTTCTGCCGTGCGATCTTGCGTTGTCATAGAGGAATCGAACATGACGGTCCCCTGGCCTCACCGTGCGGAGTTCTGTCGGCGAGCTTCTGCAGCTGATCGCAGTAGTGGGCAGCGGTGATGCTGGTATTGGATGGAGCAGCTCGAAGTAGATCACGCCTTGCACGTCCCACCAAATGCACAACATGACTTTTCGGGGGTGCAGGTCACCTTACGGCTCTGGCTCTGACTGGGCATCAGCATCAACCCACTGTCGCCTGTGTCGGTAATTGACGTACAGCATCCACTGTTCGCCTCCAGTGACTACGGAATCCAGCCAATCGTTTGTGCGCTCGTACGACAGCAGCGAAATGCACACCTCAGCACGGCGTTCGCGGTACCCAACTTGCTCTTCTTGCCAATTGCAGCCAGGTGCGTCACGATCGTGGACTTGGAGCAGCCAAGTGCTGTCGCTAGGTCGCGGTTTCTTTGTCTCGGATCGGCTTCCACTGTGTGCTGCAACTGCTCGTCGTCGATTTCAGATGGGCCGCCTGACCTGGGCTCATCCTCGACGCTGTAATTTCCAGACCGGAAATGATCGAACCGTCGTCGCGCTATCCTTTCTTAAACTGCACCTTCACCAAACGCGACGCAGATGCGACCACTCGATTCAGCTGCTGTGATGCCAGATAGGAAGTCGCAAAGAAGGCATTGACGTTGGGCGGTCTTGTTCAAGTCGATTTTGGAAGTCATTGTTATAGGCTTTGAACGACTAAGCAACTGCAGCGTAATCGCACCCACACCCGTTATATACTGCTATTGTGGAAGGTTCGAAAAAATTTCTGAAATTGTTTTCTCGAAAATTCTGGAAACGGCCAGAACTTTCCGATCGACCCAATAATTTGATAAAGGTTCCGAAAGGCATGATTGTATTACCACACACTTCTCCACCAGGCTATCAAATAAAAAGGAAGATTGTACTTTCAGCCAGAATAATTGCCTACATGATGGCCTCTGACCCCTGCCACATGAGCAGGGCTTTACAGAGAATGAAGCAATTCAAGTGATGAAAATAACTTATCCAATACGTAACTTGCATATTGCATTAATCCTAGAAAATAAAGTTCATTGACCTTACTTAGCAAAATCAAATCACCGTCCTTGATGAATTCGCGCCGTTGAAGGGACGCATATTTTGATCTGTTTTTGTATCACTACATGTTTCGGACATAAAATCAGTCAATAGGACTTTTCAAGGACGTTCATGGAACGTTGGTAATATTTAATTTAAATGTTCATTGAACACGTGCGGTTGCTTCTTGGGTGGTGGTCTCAAAAATCATGGTGACTTCTTGCACGAAGAGAGTGAATCCTTTCCTTTGGTTTCCAGTATGTTTACCTGTCACTAAGGCTGAAAGCAATTTTTTCGTTCACTTATAATAGTGTCACACTCTGTGCTCTGGATAAATTTCATTTCATTTTTCTATGAGAAAAAGTAAATAAAAAAGAGAATAAAGTCACTCACGAAATACTTTTTCCCCAATGAGGACAACGGGTCTTTGGAGTTTCTCTGCTCCTTTCTGGATAAGATCATAAAAGTCCTGATGATCCTCGCTCTCTAGAAGATTCTGTATGAATGAATGAAATTACCCGGAGTCTTAAGTGTCAGTTGCTCGATTAACTGCACCCTTCAAGGTCACAAAGCGATTAAATTAGCCAACAGACGAAAGTATTCCATTATTCATCATAGCAGAAAGCAAGAGTCAGTTCAAGGGCTTCTGCACTCATGAAATTGTTGGGAAAGGAAAAACTCTGATTCATCGTAAGGAATATCATTAGCCCTTCTGTGACAGACAGTTACTTAACTAATTACCCTCTTGAACTAATCCAACATCGGATGCCCCCTCTGCGAAATGGCATTTCCCATATCCCAAAATACTGTAGTGTGTACCAAAGGTTAGTTTGCCAAGAAAGAAATGGTTAATTTAATACATACTCTTAATATTATATCTCCTGCATTCATTATCGTATCATTCATTTTTGCATTGCATGAAGGAATACCAAATTTATATTCGGTTATGATGTAAACTCAATAGCAATTTTGTTAATTTCACGACCGTACAAATGGTTCTATAACTAATTCTTTATGCATTTTCCACCTACTATACTGACATATTGACCGATAGCTCTGCAAAGTTCAGGATTATGGCGAATGGCATCAAATGCATGCTGTATGAAAGCTTTGATGTCCTACATCTTCTGGATAGTGTTTTAAAATGTTCAATTTTGTTTATCGTTTGTAGTTCTTAAGATTATAATTTCAAATGCCTCAGGATGCGATGTACAATCTTTTAGAAATGCCCAAACAAATTCAGCATCAGCCCTCACGAAATTTACATTTTGATATATTTGAACCCTTTGTTGAATCACAGAGAATTCTGTAGTAATCTGAATGTTTTCTAGTAATCTTGCTATTGTAGGGCGAACTCTCCCTGGAGGATCTACGACGCTTCCTGACACATCAAGCTCATCTAACTTGTTTATTTCTAGTCTTGCTGCAACAACAACGTCTGGAAACTTATTCCCTAATGCTAAATAAACTTATTGGCAATCATTTCCAGTTTTCCACCACAACTTCATAGTCAAAATTATATGTTCCCTATATTGGTACCTATCCATCCTTTACAGTAGACGCTTATTTCCCTGTAATAAGAAGCAACAATTTTATAACAGTTTTCCTTCAGAAGAACAATCATATTTGGGTTCAAACAAAATGACGCTTCTGGGTAAACTAAATTTTGCGGCACCCTGAATATCAATAAATCCAGTTGAGTAAATTTACCCACTGAAGATTCCTCTGAGAAGTAACAGGTAACCTCCATGAAGCTCCCTTTATTTATTAACTGGTATAATACAATTAAAGCGAGGTGATATAGAATCATTCCAGAGATGTCTCAACCTACACTTTATCCACCTATTAGGCCGAAGTAATGGATTTATTGTTCTGAATCGCATGACGCCTTTTATGGGACTGATTTCTGATCTACCATAGTCTTTTTCAAACGTCGTATGCACATATTCGTCATTTCCAAATCAGAGGCTTACGTTATGCTTAATCCACTGTCTTCATAGCATAAAATGAGCTCCAACACCAAAAAATAAATTGTTGCATTGGAGTACCGGAACTATAACATTGTGTCGTACTATGTATTGTCAGTGGAATAATCTACATTCCCCATGTACGTTTTCTTATCAAACCTGTTCAGTGAGACACTCAATTCTTGTTCGGAGGAGCATATCTTAAGGTACTACGGGAACATGAAAATCGACCCCCCTGGATTGAAATTCCGCTCTATAATTGTTGTAAGGGACCTCAAGAAAGGGTCGATTTTCTCTTCTCACCGGCCAAGAATGCAGGATTTTTGTGCTTATCCCATAGAGGAATGTTTCACGGATCCAATGACACCAAGATTGCTTACTGTCTCTAAAGGAAAAAGAGAATGCGAAGCTTTAATTGCCCATTTACATGAAAACTTGAATGCTTGCGCAGCTCTTCCCTCTGTGACTTCCCTCCCGCCTCGCACAGATTTGTTCGTGATCGTGATTGTGTGTGTGTCTGTGTGAATGAAAAGGTGGGATGAGGATCGACGCGACTTCAACCGGCGGCTATCGCTGTTGATTTTTTTCCTTGTTCCTATGCCGTCTTTTTTCATCAAATGCTCCGCTTTCCCTGCCCCCTCCTGAGAGTACTCTTGGCACGTCGCCGCTCACCCCAACCTCTCTACTCTCTCCTGAAGTCATTCCTTATGAAAACATGAGTGCGGATGAATGTCTTTCGGCACAGTTGTTAATTGTTGGGGCATTAAAATGAAGACAGGAAACAAAATTTCACACGCTGGAGGTTAATGAATCAGGGTCACAACAATAAGGAATCCAAATTATCCTACGCAACGAGGGGAGAGTTCAAATTATCAAAATACATAGAAATTAATAGACAAAGGTGTTTTCAATATTTCCTCCCCCTCATTCTCTCCCAAGGAACGAGGGCACTTTCTAAGATATTTTGCATCTTCGAGACTTGGAAAAAAGGACCTAATCGGGATAAGGAATTAGTTCAACCTTTTGGACCGAGTATCCTCAGAACGAGGTTAATATATTTCGAGACGACTATGGAAAATGACTGCCGAATAATGCACGAATGTGTTGAGTCTCCTATGACCAAGAACGATTTGCCTGAGGCCATGATGAAGTATCATGCAGTAATTGACCGCGTTTCTCCTACATGCCTCCTTCCTCGTCTACGATTACGAGCTGCTTTCCTCAGTCAATGGTGTGATGGAATAACCAGATGACACCTTCATCGCCTTTCCAGGTGAACCGGTAAGATTAGGTAGGAATGGTATAATTTTTCCTAGTTGTGCCTGAAATGGCCAGCATAATGTACGAAGCGTGATCCTTCTTTCCCTCTCTCACTCACTTTTTTTCCTGTCTAGACTTCTCTAGACAACGATCAATCCAGGGCGCAGTCCATTCCTCTCGTGAATACTTTTTATAGCTCAGTGAGGAAATGGATTAAGCATGGTTTACATCGCATACTGAATGTGGAAGGAGGAGTGCATTCATTAGGTGAAACCCCATCAGTGGAAGAAATGTATCCCGCGGGTATAACTGTTAATTTTTTTTACCATTTTCCGTAATCGCTCGGCGCGGTCCAATGAGCGTCTGCTATGAGATACAAAGATCCTGATGTAACACAGCTTCTCCTGGAGAACCCTTGCATTGCGTAACCATTAATTCATTTAGGTTTGCACGAAAAGTTCACTTCTGATGTTACAATCATGAGAAATGTGGAACTTTGGAATAGACTGCAATTTTCGATAAGTATGGGAAGAAAACTCCATAAATTACGCTTGCCAATGGTGATTCTTCTTTCCCTTCCACAATCCAGAGTAGGAACAGTGACACGGGGATGAATACCTGTCCTGTGAACCTAGCACTAGATACAGAGGGAATTACTAAGTCCATGCAGTTAAAGTTCTGTAAACAATTTCCGAAGACAGTGCAACCTTTCAAATCTCTAAAGATTCCAATGAAGTAAGGATATGCTTAGAAAACTTCATTGATCATATATCCTTGGAATTTTCAAAATAGATTTCCATGTACGAAATTTGAAGATGCAGATGAAGCAAGAGAAAAGGGTACCAGACTCAAATAGTGCCTTTAGTAGGTTTCTCCTGGATATGGGGCCGGGGAGAAGGGGGGGAGAGGGCAGAAGTAAACCCATTCCTCAGACGCACGTTCAGACTGAAAAAGACCGGAACGTGAATGCTGGTGCCAGGCACGTCTTGGCACGTGAGAGGGTAGAAGAGGAAAGGAAGAGGTAGACTCAGCGAAAACGCCGTTTCATTGAACTTTGTTGTCTGCTGGCCATTTTAGGCACAATAACAGGAATTAGTCCCACTACTCGGTAACTGGTTCACCACGAAAGGTAATTTAGGTGTCATCTGAATTGTGGATCATCACGTCCTAGAGGAAAGTAGCTCGAGGTCGTTCGCGAGGAAGGAGGCATGCAGGAGAAACGCGGTCGACTGCTGCATGATTCTTCAACATGGTCTCAGTCAAATCGTTCTTGGTCAAATGAGAATCAAGACATTCGCGCATGATTCGACAGTCATTTTTCACAGTAGTTTAGAAAGATTTGTGCAAGAAAGAATAATTATCCTCATTCTTAAGATACTTTGGTTCCAAGGTTCAAACTATCTAAAACTGAAAATATATTCCCAGTGATTTTCAAATGACTTCCAAGAACTACCATTAAACTTTGAAGGCAGTTTGAAATTGGAGGCAATGCCCATACAAATATCCACGCTATTCATTTGTGTCATTCCCGATAAATCAGGAATGACAGTTGAGGTAGGTCATGTGCAACGAGAGGAAAGTTCCGCAATATGCATTCCGCTCTCCGAATTCGTCAGAGCAACATCAATAATTTTCCATCAATACTTAGAAACTCTGAGGAAGATGATGAGGCCAATATAAAAAATTTCAGGGAGGGATATTGATGTGAGCCTCTGGAGAGACCCACCCAAATCCTGACCCATCCGACTTCATGGCTAGACTGGGATTTCCCCGAGGGGATATGGGCAGGAATCATGATGCTTCAGGCGTCGACATTTCCGAAATTTGTGGTGATTTTCTGTACAAACACACTAGGAGGCATTAGAGCCCGGTTGAATGAAGGTGGAGACAGCAGTCCTACTAGAAACGGTTCGCTTAGCATGAACATTCCATGGAAACCCATACGGATATCTCTAAGAAATTATGAATGCGTCCCTGCAATCCAGAAACTTGTCTCCATCAAGTAATCAGAGGACATTTTATGTATGAATTTTTGTGTACCTATGAAGGTAAACAAAAAAAAACATGAGAAACTCTTGGGATTAGCGTTTTTTCTCTCGATTTCTAGCACCTTTCGTTACTTGTCTTCGAAATGCCCTATTCAATGCGCATGTGCTTTGGTATACAGTTCAACCAAGAAGCATTTTAAAGTCGCATGGATGATCATTTCAGTGGTCGAAATGATAACCGGGAAATTGGTTTGGAAATTTGAATCCTTCGTGTTAGGGGCTCGTGGTCTATGACTTTAGAAGTAATCTTCACTATTTCTGCCTCTTTTGAAATTCTATTCCTTTGTCTTTCGATTTCGCTTTTTTGGGGCTCATGTGGCCAACTGCTTCCGATTTGTGTTTTGATTTGACCCGTCAAACAGCTATCAAGCAGCAAATTTAGCAAGGACATATGGCTAACTATTCGTCGAAGGTGACGAGAGCGACCACACTCAGTACTTCTCTCGGGACCCACCAATAAATTTATTCACAGATATTGAATCCCAGAGAATCGATTTTCTCCTGAACAATCTAAAGCATCCCATAACCACATTGGACACAGATTTCCTTCCTTTCCAAAGGACGAAGGCACTGAGCGAAATATACAGAAGTTTTAGAAAAGGGAGATGTGTGGACATAGCTATATGAAGGGAGGGGGGGGGGGAATACGTTGCCAAATTTCCTTTGGGAACATCACAAATTCGATTTATCATTATGAAGAATAACAGGCAGCTCATGAACATCATTACCCTTGGAGCCTAAGGCTGTGTACCGCCTGCACAAGAATTGATACCGAAAATACACGAGTCAAATAAATAATTCCTTCCCTTTAGTAGCCCACAGGAAAAGAGCGGCTCTCTTTTCCACTGAAAAGTCAGTGAAAGGAGCCAAAGAGACTGGCGAAAAGAGGAAAGAGACAGGCGAGGGGGAAGTGTGTGAGTGCGAAACGGTCTCGGGGCAGGCGAAGGAACATGGGAGAGTGAAGCGGGAGGGAAGTCAAAGAGGGA